AAAAACTCACCAAGTTTCTGTTGAAGGTCACCTAAATAAGACACAGTCAGAAAGAAAAACACAGATTGAGTCTCTCAGTGGGTGGACTTAACACCAGCCCTCTCAAGAGAAAATCTATCCAAAGACTACGAAGTCGGGTCTACAAAGACCAGGTATCCCAGCTAGACACAGTGAGCTATGAGGTCCTAGGGCAGGATTCCTTTTCAAGGATATGGGCTGGCTTCAGAGCATCACAAAGTTCCTCATGACCCCAGCTCCATGTGTGCTGGGCCGGAGGTAACCTGGTCATTACACCGACCCTGATATGAACATTGAAACCCTGCACATCCCCTATATGAAAATCTGCACAGTCTAGATCCTGATGACTGCACTCCTATGTTTCTGATACACTGATACTTTTCATAGGACCACAAGAAAGCATAACTGTCATTTTATTTCACTGGACAAAGGTTTTCCCTTTCACATGGATAGAGATGCTGCAGCATGTGCTAGCAACAAGGGTAGCAACAAGGCTCTGAAAGGTTTGTATTATGCACATGGTAAAGCTGGTTTCACCATTTCTTAATGGGTATTATTTCCCATATAAGTTAGATTAAAGTATTAAAAGAAAGCTCCCTTACTAAATAGATCATAACCACCCTTAGAAAACTTACGCTTTATCTTGAGGAGATATACAGTCAAGAGAATGAAGCCGAATAAAACCACTAGCATCACACACAGTGCCACCATCCAGGGATTCACCTTTGGGAAAAAGGGATCTGAAAAACAAAATGCTTGGGACTTCCATTAGTCTGCAACTGGTGATAAAAATCAAGTGTATTCATTTCACAGAAACATATAACTGTTCTCCAACTATTTTCCAAGTGGTTTTACCTGAGGGCAGAATGAGAGCAGAATCTCTTCAGCTCTCCTCAAAAACCAGAAGCTGATTCCCAAATATGCCTCTAACTGAGCACGTCTGCACATTCATGAATGCACTGAAATTACTGCGCATTACATTTAGTATCTGTGGGTGCCTAATCACAAATGTGGAGGCTTCTTCAATGTGCTGGGATCCCGTGTGTCGGAGCAGACTAGATTAATTGAGTCTGCTGGAGCCTGGTGATTGCCACACTCCAGCAGCCTCCTGCGTCGTCTGTATCAGTGTCCCTGCACTTAAAAATGTTGGTGGGGGTACTTGAATTAAATCAACTTAGC